GCACGGGTGCTGTGTGAAGGAGCAGACAGTGGTGTGGCTGCGCGCTCCCATCACTGCTGTCAGAGGGATGTGGTATGGTGCTGATGCTCTGCTCTGCTCAGCAGGTGACAGGGCAGTGCCAGCCCTTAGCACAGGGGGACTCCCCGCTTCCCCCATGTCCCCTGCTTAGCCACAGGATGCTGTCACACTTGGTACACCATCAACATCGATGCTGGGCAGCTCATGCCAGTAACTCCTTGTATGAAGCTGCTCACCCCTCTGTCTGCTCTCCCTGCTCTGAAGGAGGATGAGGTCCCCAGGCATGGGTGCCTCTGGGCTGCAGCCTTTTCCATCCATGCAGCCTCTTGAAGCTGTGTAGCAGATCTTTTCCCCCGGTTTTGCTCCAGTGTAGCTCCACTGACATCTACTGGGGATTGTTCCGACACTGGTGCAAGTGGAACATCAACCTCGGAGGGGTTTTCCCTAATGTTTTACAGTATTCTGAGTGTCAGATTGATTTATGGCCGTTTTTCTGAGTGTGCCTTGGTTTTAAATGCCTCTTCTTTGCTGGCCCTGTTGCTCTGGACTCCTCAGAGAAGCTCCTGAGGTCTGCTTGCTGTTTTGTGGTATTATATTAAGCATTCACTTTGAGTCTTAGACAGATGAGATATTGCGAGCACTTTCGTTTCTTCTCTCTGTGTTCCTTCATATCTCACCTCAGATGCAGACCAGCCGAGCTGGCTCTTGCTAATTACTTAGGGAAGTAGTTATCTGCAGTAGCAGCACTCAGTCTCTTTGGAAAACAGACCAACGTGTTGAAGGGTGGTGGGTTTTTTCTTGCCACAACTTGTGGTGAAGGGTTCCCCACCCCAGGCTCATGCTGTGGTCTTTCCAGAGCTGAAGCACAATGATTAGGCAGTTCCTTACACAAACCAGCTGTGAACTCTCCTCCAAGGAGATGCTCTGCTGTTCCAGCCTCAGAAATTGTAGTTATCAAAGACAAATACTGAGCTGCGGCCAGGGTACAGTAACTTTGATACTTGAGTAATGGGGGTGAGATGCAGTTTGGGAGACGTGGAGGGATTAGAAACACATTGGAGAGAGAGGAGGAGGCTCAGGAATGACAGAGCGGGTCAGAGTCCTGCTGTTAGTCAGAGCTGCAGTGCAAGTGCAGGGGGATGAGTAACGGCACACCCAGTCCCACGGGTCCCCACTCTGCACATGCACGCTGCCCTGCAGATGAATCTGTGCACCCTTCCTTTCCATACACCCCACTTCTCCAATTCCTGCTAATAACATCATTAAGGAGACCTCAAGTCCCTCTGCTTAATGTCCCACGAGCTTTTTCCTTTTAAATGGGTTTGCATTTGTCCTGTCAGGCTCCTTGACAATCACAGGGTATAAAGCAATTTTGCCTGGGTCAGGACCAAGGGAAACAAGATACTTCTCCAGTTACATTGCTCTCTTTTCAATACTTTCCAGACATCTATTACTGCTAATGGTGTGACCCAACACTTGCACTGTCACGCTGTAATTGTTCCACTTGGGTATTTTTTCCTCAGATCCATTCCCTACTCCCACACACATGGGGATTTGGGGATTTCTGTGCAAAGTAAGCCTGGGAGATAGCATGTGAGCACACAAGTGTATGTGGAGGGGTTCATATTCTATTGCAGCTCACAAGCTTGGCGCTGCTGACAACAGAGGAACCCCGCTTGTTTGCAGTTCAGACTGCCAGGGTGGGATCCCTCCCTCCACAGTTTAGATGTCTGCAGTAGAACTGTCTACATGTATTCCAGTTATCCCATCTCTCTTAAAGAAATGGTGGTAGTCACACTTTTAGGGTATATTTCATGTGATCCAGTCTAGGTGTCTGCTTTATCATGAGCAGGGTCATACATGTTTGTTCAGAGGAATCCCATCCTTAGCATCTGGCATGGCAGCAAGCCTGCAGTCCTGCTGATTATAAACTGTCTGAAATACAGAGAATGAACGTGGACTAGCTGTGTGAAACCCATAAAAAGGAAAATCTAAACCCAAGGCAATTATCTGGTGTTTCTTTAAGTTCCTTGGATATTCATTATCTTCCTCTCTAATTTTCCTAGTCTGACAGCATGGCATTTTGCCAGGTAAATACACTACTCTAAATACAGCTTAAACAGGCAGAGATTTAGTGCAGGAGAAGCAAGAGGAAATCCTTCATATACATCCTTCAATTGTCTGAGTTGGCATGTTAACAGTGAAGCAGCGCAGCACTCAGCGGCTGGTTCCCTCCACATCAACTCCCTTCCAAAATGACTCAACTCCAATCATCTGGGTCTGGAAATAACATGATACAAACTGTTCTCTGGGCTAATGAAGGGAATTCATTAACTTCAATCTCAATTCACTTCAAGGCCAGGCTGGACGGGGCTTGGAGCAACTTGGTCTAGTGGAAGGTGTCCCTGCCTGTGGCAGGAGGTTGGAACTGGATGAGCTTTAAGGTCCCTTCCAACCCAAACCAGTCTGGGATTCTATGATTCATCCTCGTTGCTGAAGCAGGTGTCTAAGGTGATTTACTGCAAGCAAGAAGCTTACAAAGCCTCCAAAACATTAGTCTAGTCCATTTTGTGTTTTAGACGGGTGTTTGCAATGTCCTCATGAGCAAAACATGATGCTGCTGCCATTCTGTACCACTGTGTCTGTGTATGGACACCACCGTGCTGCAGGAATGTGACTGCCACCACCTCTGCTAAACCAGAATCACTCTTTAGTGGCACTAATTATTAATTCTTGGAGAAATGAACTCACCTGAGTTATAAACACAACATATTGGTGAGTTAATGGTACTGATAAACACTTGCAGTCTGGCCTGTAAGGACCACAAAGATGATCCAAGGACTGGGAAGCCATGTGAGGAAAGGCTGAGAGAGCTGGGACTGTTCAGCCTGCAGAAAAGAAGGTTCGGGGAGAACTTATCACCATGTTCCAGTAGTTAAAGGGTGGCTACGAAGAAGATGGAGACTCCATTTTTACAAGGAGTCTCATGGAAAAGGCAAGGGGTGATGGGCACAAGTTACTCCTGGGGACATTCTGGCTGGACACAAGAGCAAAATGTTTCCCAATGAGAACAACCAGCCACTGGAATAATCTCCCAGGGAAGTGATGGATTCCACAATGTTGGACACTGTTAAGATTCAGCTGGACAGGGTGCTGGGACATCTCCTCTAGATCACAATTTGCCAAGAAAGGTTGGACCAGATGGTCCTTAAGGCCCCTTCCAACCTGGTATTCTGCAATTCTATGATGCAGTAAAGTCTTTCTTTGTCAGAGTAGCTTATATAGGTTTCCTGATGAAAATAAGCCATGTCAGTAAAAGTTACTTCTCTGCCAGTATTACTGTGCTCCCACTAGATTTTCTTCTTGCATAGAAATAATGACAAAGTAAATCATTCCCTGATGCTACGATATATCATCAGGTTTCTGCTTTAGCTGTGGCTTTTGCACTAGAGAAAACGAGCAGGTGAAGCTGACTTTCTTCCCTCAGTCCTTGTCAGATGGGGCAGCACCATCTGCTGGTTTCACTGCTCATGGTCATGCTTTGCTCATGAGCTGCTGTTTCCCAGCCCAGCTCCTCACTGATGCCTGGCAGCACCCCAAGCCCTAAGGACCCCGCAGAGGGTCTCACTGAAACACTGGCTGGTTGAAACCCCGATGCGGATTAAATGGGCAGGAAAATGGGAAATGCTGCAAATGTGGTGAAATCAGGTTTATTAGTCTAAAAGGGGTCATTGTCCCTCCCACCCATGCCCACCTACGAGACTTGTTATTTGGGGACTCGCTGATTTCTCACAAAGCTTGTGAAGGTGTGAGTGGACAGACCAGCATCAGAGCTGGGCCACATCCAAACTGATACCCTTTAAAATGCTGAGGAATATTTACAGGTCCCTTCCAACTTGAGATACTCTGTGATAAAACTGCCTCCATCATTCCTAGCTCACCTTTAACCCTTGTATCCAGCTTGTCCAGCTGATGTGAGATACCATCAGTGCCTGAATCCCTATTAGTCTGTGCCTTGCTTGATTCTTCCCACCATGTTCCTTCATCTGGGACAGGAGACTAGATGAACGTTGTATGTGATTGCTGTGGGGTGAGGGCAGGTTTGTTCAGTCCATAGACACGTCCCTCCCTTGATGGATGGAAAGGTGTATGTATCACAGTGGCTGTAACATCAGGTCTCTGCTCTCCATATACTGGATTCTTTCACACTAATCTGGGAACAGCTCATGATCTCAGTGACTCCTTAATGCTTGGCAGTGAGGCATGATGGCTCTGAGTCAGGGAAGTGAAAAAAGAGGTGGTGGTGCAGGGCTGTGAAGGTAAATGAGGAGGATGGTAAATCCGTGATCACAGAGGATTTTGTGACAAGGGTGCCCAACTTCATGCCACCACCTGCTACAGATGTCTCATGAGGCTTTTTACAAGGGCCTATAAGGACAGGACAAGGGGGAATGGCTTTAAACTGACAGAGGGAGATTGAGATTAGACGTTAGGAAGAAGTTCTTCCCTGTGAGGGTGCTGAGGCGCTGGCACAGGGTGCCCAGAGAAGCTGTGGCTGCCCCATCCCTGGCAGTGTTCAAGGGCAGGTTGGACACAGGGGCTTGGAGCAACCTGCTCTAGTGGAAGGTGTCCCTGCCCATGGCAGGGAGTTGGGACTGGATGAGCTTTGAGGTTCCTTCCAACACAAACCATTCTATGATTCTTAGCTGTCACATGTATCTTAAACTCTTGGGAGTTAGATATTAACTTCTTCTGGCATTCTAGAATTCAGTGTCCCTTTGACTCTATATGGAGGGTAATTTGTGTTCTCTTGCCTTGCAGGGGTCTTCTGAAGATCAGTATTTCAGAGTAGGTACAACACTGATCTTTCAGTGACAGGATCTAAGACAATGGATCCTACCACAAGGTTTCTATCAGCGTATCAGTAGGGCAGACAATCCATTTGCTGGGACGTCCATCTCATGGTGTTTCTCTCTTTTCAGGCACTGCGTCTGTTGCAGTCGCTGGCATCTTTGCAGCCTTAAGGATCACAAAGAACAAGCTCTCTGACCACAAGTTTGTTTTCCAGGGAGCTGGAGAGGTAGGAAATGTTCTTAAGTTTGTTCCTAAGTGTGATACAAATTCAAATTTAGAGAGAGAAAAGTCAACCATGAAGCTTCTTGCAAGGCTTCATGGAAACAAAGCACAGAAGCAGACTGTCACTGGCAGGAGTGGGCCCCACACGTGGACCATGCTGCTGCATAGGAGTTGCCAACAATCTTTTAGTGGGGCTTTAAGTTCCTTGGGAAAATCTCTCATGAGGCAGCGTCTGCTGGAACATTAAAGGGGCTGGTTTGAGTCCTCAGGGTTGGTATTTAGGTTAAACCAGAGCCTCTTGAGCAATAGAGTCAAAAGGACTGCAAGCTCAAAGAGCTGTAAGAACATAACCTCACTGTTGGGAGTCAGTCATATTGCTCCCGTGGCAGAAATTAGATAGTGTGTGTGACTTCTTGCACAAAGAGAGAGGGGGAAGAAAAAGTCTCTATAGCCTAGACTGTGGATTAAAGGTGTTGGTCCAGGTCCAGCTCTTACCCACCTGTGGGACTTGGGAAGGTCTGTCCCTCTGTGATACAAAGATTGTTTGTTCTCTTTGTCGTGCCGGTGCTGGTCACCATCTCTGTGGCACAGAGCCCCTCCTGCCCTGTTGGTCCCCACACGGGCAGGAGGGCCAGGCACAGCTGTAGGACCACTAACACACACAGCAAGTCCAGGGCTGCTTCCTCAGCCAGGAAAGGGAGAAGAGGACTTTCCTTTTGGCAGTACTTCAGATGCAGCAATCCCACTTTGCTTTGAGTTCCTCTGTGCTGGCATTGTCACTGTTCGTTTAGTGTTTGCCCCTTTTCCTCCCCTGCAGCAGCTCGTTCAGGTGATGGAGACAGCTCCACTGCTCCAGCCTCACAGGCAGCCTGCTCTGATAGTCAGTTGGGGATCTTTTCATTTATGGCAGCACCTACAAGGCTAAAACCAGCCCCATGCCATGGCACTGTGCAACCACAGAGCAGAGAGCCTCCCTGCTTTGTGCAGTGCTGGGGGAGACCCAACACATCTCTCATTTAAAATATCCCCCCCACCCGGTGATGGTACCCCAGTGAAGTGTTTATATACTGTGTTCCAGGCTGCAACGGGCATAGCTTACCTCCTGCTCATGGCCATGGAAAAGGAAGGAATTCCACGAGAGGATGCCATCAGAAAAATCTGGATGGTGGACTCCAAGGGACTGATTGTCAAGGTAAATTTGTCTCCAGAGCTGAGCTCCACTCCCCTGCCACCTCCTGCAAGATAAGAGAGGCCAGAGCAGGCAGATACCTCGGATCAGACCAGGAGTAAGGGCTGCAGATCTACTGGTGTGAGCAGAGCTGTTCCTGCTTTCAGAGGACTAGGTCCCATGGTGACAGCAGTGGACCAGCAGCACTGGCTGCCCTAAAGGCAGTGCTTTGGGCTGTGTCTCTACAGTAGTAAGGTACACTGCTGGCCACAGTCTCAAGCAGTGTTGGAAGTCTTGCATGTCATATGGCGTATTACAACAGCAACATTGTGCCCTGCTTGGTGATCTCAGCTACTCTGCACTCCCTGGGTCCTCAGGGCCTCTTCCCTTGTCCCTCCTCAGACTTGAGGAGGTTCAGCTACATATACACTTTCTCTGCCCTGGCAGCAGATCCTTCCTCCACACCAATGTATTTTGGAGGGTGAGAGGAACAGAGACCAGCCCCGTGTGACATAACACCAGCAGCTCAGTGCCTGACTGGCTGATGCTGAGGTCCTGCTCTGTGGGATCTGGTTCAGGTAGAGAGCCAAGAGATGAAATGAAGTGATGAGTTACTGTGTTGTGTCTCCACCTTTTGCCAACAGACCAAAGTTTGACTCCTCCTTTTTCCTCACAGGGCAGGAGCCACCTGAACCATGAGAAAGAAATGTTTGCTCAGGACCACCCCAGTGTGAACACACTGGAAGAGGTTGTGCAGAAAGTGAAGCCTACAGCAATTATAGGTGGAGTTCCCTTAGCAGGACCTCTTCACATCACTTCAGTTCTTAGGAGAGTTTCTGTCTTTCTTCCAGGGTCTCCTTTTGTTCTCCCAGTTGAGATAAAATGAGCTTCTTTTGCCCCTATTTTACCAGTTGAGCTCTACGCATCCTTTCCCCTTCAACCACAGGGTACAGGGTTCCTCTCTTTCAGAGCTGTAGGAGCCCTCCCAAGGTTTAGAGGGATGTAGAGGGAGGTACTGGGGGTGGCAGGACCTGGGGCTCTCAGCAGCACACATGGCTCTGGCAGGTTGGGCCAGATGATGATAACAGGAAGCTCAGGCAGGTCTTTGGGGGCAAAGTGCTACAGCCAGACTGGCCTAAACACTGATGTCAGCTCTGCCCAGATGAGCAGGAGGCTTTATTTTGAGACAGGCTTTTAATCTGAGAAAGAAACATTCACACCTTCATCTCGAGAGGTGGATCCTGTTCCCTCTCACAGTTCGTTTGCCAGCAGAGGCATTCAAGAGGGATCAGCCCAATGTGCTGAAGTCAGACAGTCAGAAAGCACTGTCTCACTCTGCTCTGTTGTTCTAGGTGCTGCAGCCGTTGCAGGAGCCTTCACTGAGAAGCTGCTGAAGGACATGGCAGCCTTCAATGAGAGGCCCATTGTGTTTGCCCTGAGCAACCCCACCAGCAAAGCAGAGTGCACAGCAGAGCAGTGCTACCGCCTCACCGAGGTACTGGAGCTCAGCGTGCTGCGAGAGGCCAGGACAGTGGTGCATGGTGGGCACTGACAGGGGGATAAGGTGAAATAAGAGAGGTTCAAGCTGGTCATGAAGAACAACTTTCACATTGTGGGGGCAGTCAGGAGGTGGAACAGGGGCCCAGATTGCTCGTGTGGGCTCTTTCTTTGCAAGTTTCTAAGACCAGGCTGGATAAAGCCCATGAGCAACCTGGTCTGATTTCACAGCTCACCTTGCTGTGAGCAGGAGTTTGGGTCCTCACCAGCCTGAAGTACTTTGTGATCCTCTAAAGAAGGTGCTTGCCTCCTTCACCCATAGCTGGATGTCCCATCCTCCTAGGTTATCGTCCCCTCTGTTTTGTCACCATGTGCAACTACGTGAAAGTGGGGTTTCATCCCCCAACTTGGAACCATTGTCACTGAAGAATTATTGTCATGTGGATTGAGCTGGTGTGAGAAAGGGTGCCTTGTCTCACTGTCTCCTTTGCCCTCCCCACCACCTGCTGCTGGCTGGAGCAATCACACAGCTCCCACATGAGTCTCTCTTCATACTCCATAGATGAAGAAGAGAGAGTCTTCCTCAGCCAATTCAAAGCTCTTGTAGCTGGACAGTGTGAACACACACTCAGTGCTCAGTAGCCCTGACCATGGCCCTGCCTGTGGCTCTGAGGACCAGAAGTGTCAACTGGAGATGGCTCTCACTGACTGGCTGGAGACTTGTCACTTGGTCACCAGATCCCTGTGAGCAGCAGACATGTAAGACTTCTCTTCTGAATTTGGATGCCTCTTTTTCTGTCTTTCATCAGGGACGGGGGATATTTGCAAGTGGGAGTCCATTCTCCAAGGTGACCCTGCCCAATGGACAGACCTTCTTCCCTGGCCAAGGAAACAACGCCTATGTCTTCCCAGGAGTGGCACTGGGAGTCACTGCCTGCGGCATCCGGCACATCTCTGACGAGATCTTCCTCATCACAGCAGAGGTTTGCAACTGGCGTTAACTCATGTTTCTAAAAGATGATAAGAGGCACAGGCACCTCCTTCAGGTGTTCTCAAGAGCCTGGCCTGGGGCAGTGTGTGAGTGGAAGTGGTGCAGCCTCAGCAAAAAGCTGCAGCATTTCCCAGTCTCAGAGAGAGCTCACACTTCCATTGCATGTACAGAGCTGCAGGAGCCAGGAGCTTCTCCTCGTTGTCCACAAGGGCTGCCCCAGCAAGGATTTCCACCATCCTGGCTCTGGTTTTAAGTCTGATGAAGCTTATACACGTGTATCTTGAATAGCTCAGCAGTTCCCACACAGAACTAGTCCCAGGTCTGCCACTGCTGAGGTTTCACCCACATATCACGTAAGACTAGGGACTCTAGTGGTAGGACAAGGGGTAATGGCTTTAAACTTAAACAGGGGAACTTTAGGTTAGATCTAAGGAAGAAGTTCTTCACAGTGAGGGTGGTGAGGCACTGGAATGGGTTGCCCAAGGAAGTTGTGAATGCTCCAACCCTGGCAGTGCTCAAGGCCAGGCTGGACAGAGCCTTGGGCGACATAGTTTAGTGTGTGGTGTCCCTGCTCATGGCAGGGGGGTTGGAACTAGATGATCTTAAGATCCTTTCCAACCCTAACTGTTCTGTGATTCTATGATGAGTGAATGTGGTACGTGCTTGAGAGCATGTCTGTAAGCTGCCTTTCTCTTCTTTCCAGTCTATTGCTGCCGAGGTGACAGAGCAGAATCTTGCAGAAGGAAGACTCTATCCCCCCTTGGACACCATCAGAGAGGTGTCTCTCAAAATCGCTGTGAAAGTGGGTATTTCCACTTCTATTTCCACTTTCCGTGGTAGGAATTGCCCTGGCATCATTTTTGCTTTGTGGGGTTTTAATTCAACTTATTCTACAGTCTAAAGCAATGGTTCTCAGGAATCCTTCCAGCCAGAATTGCTGCTTTGATTTCTCCCATCATTAAATGTTAAAAATACCTCGTGACTCCGGGTGCCTCACAGCTCACAAAGCTCTGCTTTATTGCTTGGGCACATGAGTGCTCAGCACCACAAAAAAGTCAGCTTTAGGGTGAAACATGACTCAAATTGCCAAGATTTTAGGTTCCAAATTGCTCCTTTGCACTGTATTTGATGGGGCCAAGAACCTAAGTACTGTTCCACATCTGGGCTTGTTGTCTAATTGCAGGACTGGTGCCCTGTATGCATCAAATTTGTCATTCCCATTCAGGGAACACCCACTGAGAATCATATTGGTCTGATGGGAGTTCCTGATGGATACACGGTGTAGCAGAGGAGCTTAAGGGTGCGAGTGGAGGTGGTTAAAGGGCTGCTCTCCTTTAACTGCCCACTCCAACCATCTTGCCAGGGCAGGGGTGTGCATTTCGAAGCAGGCAGCTCGTATTCCCTCACCCACGGGATGAAGTGGAGCTGACTCAGGGAATTGCACAAAGAAAAAGACAAAAAAAGACACAATTTTGGGGAGAGGAAAGAGGGAAAATGCAGCCGGGGCCAAACTGCAGCTGGTTTCGAGTTCATAATGTGCCAACATTGCTTCATCAGCTCATTTTGCTTCTCTCTCTGCAGATTGTGGACTGGGCCTACAAGCATGGTCTTGCTTCTTGGTACCCGGAGCCAGCAGACAAGGAAGCCTTTGTGAAACAGCTCGTGTACAGTCCTGAATACGATTCCTTTGTGGGGGATGAGTACAGGTGGCCCCCCGCAGCCATGCAGACACAAGACATCTAAGCTTTTGTGATAACTCTTGTCTCATTTTTGCCATCAGTTCTCATGGTTCATATCATTGTTGATACAAATGCACCTCCAGGCTTGCAGAATGATAAAAGTAAATGAATCCAAGTAGGGTTTTTTACTTACTGCTGGTTTTTTCTCTCTGGCAGCATGAGTAGGGAATAAACCAGAGTCCAAGTCAGTGCTCCAAGGAGGGACTATGGCTGCAGCCCGTGCCAGTCAATCAGCACTGCATCTGCTTGCTTAATATACTGCCCAGCTCCCAGCTCAGCTGCCTTGGGAAAAGCTACCTTGGCCACCACAGAAGCAAAGAGTCCCATTCCTAGTGGAAACTCGGAGCCCCACTTCCATGGTGGGAGCTGTATGTGTGATCATCCCTCACACACACAGCCATGCTTTGCCTGTGGCTCTCTGGATGTGATGGGAAGTGTGTGCATTGCCCTGGGAGAGCTGCACACACTTGGGCATTGCTGCCCTTTCCTGCTTTGAAAGTCCCCAGTGTTTGGGGAGTCTCACCCAAGCCACACTGTTGCATGGGCCACGCAGCCTGGTGCTGTCCTGTGCCCTTGGAAACAAACCCCAAACCTCCCTCATCCCCATGGAGACAACAGACTCCCTCCCCTCTGCAGTGCAGGCTGCTCTCCAAGGGAACAGCAGCTAAGGGATGCATCAGGGAAGCCGAGCTGGGGACCAGAGCATCCCCAAGCCCATCCAGAGCTGCCCCATCACTGCATCTCCTGCTGGGCACTGCTAAGGAAGCACTGCCACCAACCAGTGGCCCTCCTGGAGCCTCTCTGTGTCACAGGGTCCCAGGGAGGCCCCCCGTAGCCCACCACATACCTCCCCAGTGGGATGATGGTGTTCCTGATCATAACTGGGAATGAACAGAGGGGCTTGCTCACAGCTCTTCCCTTCCTGGTTCTCACCACTCACACACAGCAAGGCCAAGGCTGGTTACGAGTCCTCATTTAGCATCTTTAAGTGGCTTCTAACACGAGGAAATACACCTCATCCCATTGGGGATGGGCCACGGCTTCCCCAGTGTCCATGTGCTTGTAATTCCAGCACCCCATAGCTGAAGATGGAGGTGAACATCCTAAAGCTGCTGGAGGACATCGAGTCCTTCCCACATGGAGGGGAGTCCTCCTCCCATGGAGCTGGGAAGGACGGGGAAGGTTGAAGAGAGCACAGCTAGTTCCCTACGTGCCTTTTCTGGGAAGGAAAGCTATACCCACCATGGCAGCTTCCTTGCCAAGGCTGGAGCCGTGTTCCAAACGTGTAGGATCCCAAGTGAACCACTGGAGGGCTGTAGAGCACTTCTAGCGGTGGCTTTGCCGAGCTGAGCAGGTCCTGCCAGTCGTGCATCCAGATTTAACAGGGATTTAAGCAGTGGTAATGAGTGTTTTTTCCTTGTCCAGTCTTGTAGGAGGAGAATCTCCTGCAGAGGAATTCCTTACTAAAAGCAGAAACCGCTGTGTGGCTGCTCTACGAGACACATTAACTAGTAAAGGAGAGTAAATCAGTGTAGGAAAAACACAAGTTAAATACTGGGGGACTTTCAGCTGCTGTCTGTGGCTTGTTTTCCAATTTAAAGCAAGGATAGTTATAGCAGATGAGTTTGGGTTCCTCTTTTTGCCCCCTCTTTTTCTCTCAGCAGCACAAGTCCTCTATTCCTAAGTTGTTCTTTTTCTCTTCCTTTGAAAAATTAGTTTATTCAAAACCAGTGATAAAAATAGCACAAATACAAGAAAAATCTATCAATATATGTAATAATATGGCAATATTAATAACTATCTCAAGCTCAGACAGGATCACTATGGCACCCTAACATGATGCTAAGCCTAGCAGTTGACTGGTACCCGAATTACTTCTGCCAGAAAAAACCCTTCACTTCTCTTTGCCTACTCACTCATGTCTTATTTAACTAAATTGCATCTTATTTATAATCCCAGATGGTCTGCATTAGTCAGGTGGCATTTGTCCCGTAGTAAACAGCATCCAGGAGCCAGTGTGTGGCTTTGACAACGCTGAACAATACAGTAAAACTAAATGAAGTCAGGGCCGTGCTCCTCATAGAATCATAGAATCCCAAAGTGATCTGGGTTGGAAGGGACCTTAAAGCTCATCCGGTTCCAACCCCCTGCCACGGACAGGGACACCTTCCACTAGAGCAGGTTGCTCCAAGCCCCTGTGTCCAACCTGGCCTTGAACACTGCCAGGGATGGGGCAGCCACAGCTTCTCTGGGCACCCTGTGCCAGCGCCTCGGCACCCTCACAGGGAAGAGCTTCTTCCTTATATCCAACCTGAATTTCCACTCGTTAAGTTTAAACCCATCACCCCTTGTTCTATTGCTCATGCCTGACTTTTACTTCAGCCCTTGCGCCTGGTGCTTCTGTCAGCGTGCTCTGGGCCTGAAGGGTCCCCTAATCCATAATAATACCAATCACAGACTTCTGGATTAAAATCCAGACTATCTGGTCATGGCGTTGTGCTCCACACACCAGGCATGTGCTTACAAGCAGCCACCCTGAATTGCATCTCTACCCTTTAAGTCCTTTTCTGAGGCTTCTTCCTCACAAGGCATGACTTGATGTGCAAAGAGGGGACATTTGTGTTGCCAGCACCTCAAGGGTGTGCTGACCTTTCAGTCCTGAAAGGGAAATCTTGATAAAATCACTAATTAATGGCTGAGTTTGAATCATTTGTCCCAGATATGTGGATAAACAAAGCCGCTAAAGGTCTGGCTGTTAAACAGGAGAGAAAGGCTTTTTCTTCACAGAGCAAGCTTGGCTGTTCAAACACCTAAAATGGTGGTAATTGATTTATATTCAATTATTGGAGTGCACAGAAGCAATTACAGCTATTCTTTAAAGCCCTGTTCTCCTGCCAAGCGTTACTATGCAAAAAATGATTCCTTATTAGTTACCCACTGATGACAAATGGTGATGGAAGGATGGAATTTCCCCTTTATTTAGAATTCACACCCAGTTTTACCTATCTGACCTTTGCTTTCTCTATACTGAGGACAACAGGGCTGTTTACTCCAGACCTAATGAATCTAGCTGACAAATCACCAACAGGGAACAGACTGCTGGGACTGGGAGGGGATTTGATCACTTGGCTGGTATTACTCAAGGAAGAGATGTGCCACCCAGCCTGTATTCATACAGTCAGCAGGCAGAATAGTAAATGGTATTTTCATCTATAACTCCTGCCGATTGGTTTGGGAAATGGTTGGGATTTGCAGAGATCTCACAAATTCACTAGGAACCTCATTCTAACTGTTGGAAGGAAAGAGTCCTCAGCCTCAGTGTCCCAAGAAGCACTCCAGCTAGGTCAGGAGGTCCAGCAGCCTGTCTCAGGCTGGACTCTCTTTATTTGAGGAGTGCCTTGGCAACATCACATTACAAATCCTTCGCTGAGCTTTCACCACTGGGCAGGCACACACAGGTTTAAGCAGTGGGCCTGAGTCCTTATAAAACTGAACACAAGAAACAATCAGTAGCAACGATGCCCAGCTTCTACTCAAACAGAAAGCAGTCTGTGTTCCCCAGGTACAGCTAATAAAGCAGTATCCCTGTCACCCACTACCTCAGGTTCAACTCGCATCCAGTCTGCTCAGCTGAGCTGTGGCTGAAATGGGTGAGTTGAACCCATCCATTCCTGGGCTAATCAGTATGACTCCAAACCATCCCTGAAGATGGAGTTGGGCACTGATGGCAGCCTAGAGAAGCAGTGGCACAGGTACAGCTCCCTTCAGCACACACAGCTATGGGATGGCACCTATGGCAAAGAGGCAGGGTAGCAAATGGGGACAGTCACCTCTTCATCTGCCAGAATTCATTCAGCAGAGCCTGCAGGCTGAATAACAATTAGCTGCTCGGGCTGAGGCAGTCTGAAATGTCACCGGGAGACATCCTAACACATAGAACAGGCACTAACGGGAGCACTGGAAGCTGTTAGAACAAAGCTTGAATCCTGTCCTTCTCCCATCACTATGGACCAGGCCAACATTGTCAAGGAATACCTGTAGGGGGCACAGGGTAAATGCTGCCTATTCATCAAATCCTACCCAGGCCAATTCAAGCAGTTAAAAATATCTGTTGTTGACAGCAACGCAGTGATGTTGAGTCTGTGATCCCTGGGAAACTGTGGGTCTATGGACTGTGGGTCCAGAAAGCATAAAAGGCTGGTCTAGTGGAGTAGTTCCCTACCAGTGAGGGAAGGGAGTCACCAGGGATAGTCAAGGTTACAGAGAGGTATTGAAAAACATAACACAGAAAATAGAAGTTCTCCCCACACCTTTCATAACAACTTCCATCAATCCGCTGCCAATCTGTCCCCACACAGATACGGGGAGAGGGGGGCACTGTAATCACAGAATCCCAGACTGGTTTGGGTTGAAGGGACCTGAAAGCTCACCCAGTTCCAACCCCCTGCCACGGGCAGGGACACCTTCCACTAGAGCAGGTTGCTCCAAGCCCCTGTGTCCAACCTGGCCTTGAGCACTGCCAGGGATGGGGCAGCCACAGCTTCTCTGGGCACCCTGTGCCAGCGTCTCAGCACCCTCACAGGGAAGAACTTCTGCCTCAGAGCTCATCTCCATGTCCCCTCTGTCAGGTTAAAGCCATTCCCCTTGTCCTGTCCCTGTCCTTGTCAAAAGTCCCCCTCCAGTATTCTTGTAGGCCCCATTTAATACACTCTATTACTACTCTTTAATATTATTCTCTATTAACTAAACACTATTTTTTTATGTAGATGTGTAACAAAACCCCTTGGATTTTAGACGAGTGTTTAAAAAAGCTGAGTTTATTGCATAGAAAGCAGCTGCAGTCTCTCCTGTTGAACATAAAGCAAGCCTAAAAGCATTCCCAACTCCCACTTCATATTGGCAGGTTCGTGCACTCCCACATTTCCAACCTGACTGCTTGCACATCACTACAGAATAGCTGCACCACCCTTTTCCTCCCGTTGCCAGTAACTGCAGGGTGACCTTCAGCTTTTGCACTGTTGCCAGAAGCAGTTTATTCGAAAAGCCAGCAAACGAAAGGAGTTTACAAGAAACTTCTGCACCTTTTTTACTACCAGTGTTTGAACGACTATGTAA